GGGGGTGGGGGCCAGTGAGGGCGGAAGAAAGGGTTTCAGAGAAAAGATCCTTTATAATCTAAGTTATAATCTAAGTTACTCTAAGGGCAACCGCTCCAGAAAATGCTGTTGTAAGATCACCAAAAAGCTTCTGAGTTCGACCACATAACAGGCGTTCCTAACTAGTTCCATATTATCTTCATTAATATAATGCAGACTCAATTCAACAAACAAGTGTGTTTGTATTCTTTATTACTCTGTCTCACCAAATTGTTGGTAAGTTAAAAAATAAAGTTGTTTTCTGGACTGTAAGCAAACATACTTGCCTGTATTTCATGGCTGTGGGGGTGGGGTGGTCTATGTTGACCTCTTATAGTCATAAACATGCCAAGGGCAGTGCTTCAAGCCTGCTGTCCCAGCATGGAAGCTGAGTTCTAGACTAGCCTGGGATGCATATTAACACCCTCTCTCAGAAACCAAAAGGTACAACTGTAAGTGTGATTGATGTGGAATGCCCTATTGTATGTGATGAGATGTCATGTCCTTCTGAATGCTGTGGATATATTATTAAAGATGGGTTAATTTATAAGAGAGAGCTATCCAGTAATAAGCCTGAGCTATTGGTCAAACAATTACATTTCATATTAGCCTTTGAGTGATTATTTCATAAGAGGCTGCAGGAAATTGAGAGTAGGAGAGTAGGAGAGAAACAGGTCCATGGGAACAAGCAGGACAGAGAAAAACATTCAACTACATGCAATGAAAGAATAAATACACAGATGAGACTATAACAATGACCACAGCCTCCTGTGTGTGTGTGTATCAAGAACAGAAATGTCATGTTGAGTTTTTTCTTGGTGGGGGGGAGTTATGAGAAAGCTTATGACATTTTTTAAGTTTTCTTAAGTAAACCATGAATAATTTCTTGAAATAAATAAAAAAATAAGGGACATATTTCTAAATGCAAATTAAAACAAGCTTGTCTTCATATGTTCTATTTAAAAGGCTACATATGTGGGTGTAATTGTCAACCTGACATTGAACTCACCTGGGAAGGAACTGGTTTGGAAGGTCTGTCTAACTAGATCAGGCTGGCCCATGCGAAGATCTCTCAAATGTTGTCTTAATTACAGTAATTGATATGGGCAGGACCGAGGCTAAGGAGACTAGAGCTGAGGTCTCTCTATTTGCATTAACCACTCATTTCTTCTGTCTAGGGATGTGATGTGGCCAGTTGCTTTGAGCTTCCAATGTCCTTTCTTCCCTACCATGATGGACCAATAACTGGACCTCTGAGCTCAATAAACCTTCTCTCTTGAAGATGCTTTTGTCAGAGTATTTTACCATGGCAACAAAACAGAAACTAAGACAGTGGGTTCATTAACAAGTATGTTTTTAATACATTGGGGGTATATGAAAATCAATTGCTTTCTAACTTCTTGCTATATGTTACTAAGAGTGGAAAAATCTAGTTCACACATACAACTCTACAGAAAAGAATACAACAAATGACGTATATTTTAATTTCTAAATGTAAAAAATATTTTTCTGTTGAGAAAGGGACAAATTTTATATAAATATGAACAATTTAAGGAATATTATAGTTTGTAAATTTAAGAAAGGAAAACAGGAACTTTTGAGATAGAAGCAAAGCAAGTTATAAGTATAAAGATATACTTTGGCTCAAAAAGATTAAAAAAAAAAGAATTGTTTCTTTTGATGAAAAGGATTTTTAAATGAAAACTTAAACCTTTTTCTGAAAAAGTAGAATTGCTGGACAGCTCTCCATAGGAAGACAGGGGAAAATGGTAGGGAAAAAACATTTAAGCAAACTGTAGAATATCTAAGCAAGGCTGAGTGGTGGTGGAGTACACACTTCTTCTCCCAGTACTCAGGAGACAGAGACAGGAAGATCTCTGTGAGTTCCAAGCCAGCCTGGTCCACATAGGGAATTCCAGACAGCCAAGGCTACATACATAGAGACATTCTGCCTCAAAAGAGGAAAAAAAAAAAAAAAAAAAAAAAAAAAAAAAAAAAAGAAAAGAAAAGAAAAGAAAAAGAAAAAGAAAAGCCTAAAGAGTCTTGGTTAGTTTGTGAAAATTGAATTGTATAAAAGGAAATTTCTGAGGCATCAGGGTAATTGTAATTTATTTAAAGCATATATAGCATATTTTAAAAATTAAACATTGACAAACTGACATTTAAAAAAAAATCTAATTCTGAGTATTTAAACCCACAAGTTTCCTCGACATAGATCTGCCCAAAAGATTGTGTATTATTAAGATTATTTCCAGTATCTCTATTATAGTTTTGATTAAAACATGGGAACCCCCCCTACCCATTGCCCCTCCACCCCTGGAAACACAGAGGCTGTTCTGGAACTCACCTTGTAGACCAGGCTGGCCTTGGACTCACAAAGATCTGCCTGCCTCCACCTCCCAAGACCTGGGATTAAAAGCGCATACCACCATGCCCAGCTAATACATGGACTCTAAAGCGACTTCATCAGTGACCGTTGCAGCTGCTGTGTTGTTCCTTGTTTATGGCTGACTGGTTGGCCGGCTTTGTTTGGTTTTTGTTTGTCTGTTAGCATCACACTCACTGTCATCAGACTGGCTTAGAATGGCAATGTCTGGATGTGGGTGTCAATCCTTCTGCCTCTGCTTGCAGAGTGGCAGGATTACAGGTATGAGCAAGAGTGGAGGCTTATTAAGTGTATATTTGTTTTAAAGTCTTTTGAGGGATTATTTTAGAACTTCAGCTAAATAAATGACTATTACTTTCCCATGATGCTTGATATTTATTTTTAATGCAAATGTTCTAAAGATCATATAAAATTTATAAAAGCCTGAAGGTCCTAGTGCGAGGCTGTCAGTCAGGACTGTTATCTTAAAATGATATGTGCAATAAAAATAACTAAACCATGTCAATTGCCAAACTCTCATCAAAATTTAAACTAGGAATATTATGCCTTTTTTCAACCAATGTTTTCTCTGAAACATTTAGAATAAGATTCCTGGTGGGGTGGGCAGGGCAGGACCTCTAACACAACTTTCTGGGAACAATAAGCCATACAACTCACAAACTAGCTTTTCTTTGACTATCTTTGGCTAAAATTAATACAATCTGAAAGACAGGCATTATGTTTCCTAGTTGAAACTACCTAGCAAAGCAGTATTTGTTTTGTCCTGGTGGACTTTGTTCTGTATTTTCTACTAACTCTGTACCTGTTGTGTGTCACCATTCTATAGAAGTACTACTCCTGAAAAGATAACCCAGCATATGCTCCCACCAGCTGCTGGACAGGCAGGATGAACTTAAGAGTAGATTCCAGGGAAGACAAAATGACAATGGAGACCTACTTCTCTTTAGCCTTTCTTGCTCAAGTGTGACTCATGTGAACATAACCCTGACTCTCTAGCACCAGTCACTTTTTCCTTGATATGGTTGAGATGAGCGACTAGGATGTCCACCCTAGCAGTGGCAGATAATGTGGTGGGAGGAAAGTGGGTGGAGTGTGTGAGAATATGGGGATATTGAACGGAGAATGAATATATATAAGGGGAAGGTGTTGGCACATTTCACCAATAATGAACCTAGTAAGACTGAAAAGTAAATTGGGATTTATTTACTCTGGCTTCAGATATAGTCACCATGGGAATACCTACTAGCAATGTCCTCAACAGTCACCTTTTACAAGACAGGCTGTCCTAGGATTCAAATTGTAGACCATGCTGGTCTCAAACTCTCAGAGATCCTCTTGCCTCTACCTCCCTGATGCTAGAACTAAAGGCATGCACCACAAATGCCTGGTTCTTAGCAACTTTCTATGGGCCCTATGGCTTCCTGTAGCTTTTGAAGACACCTAAGCAATCATTCCATTGAAGACCCAGTCCTTGAGTAAAAGCCTGAATTATGGAAATCAGAACTAATCTCTCAATTTAGATCATGTGATTCAAGTCACAGACAACAGGACTTTTATAAATGAAATAAAGAGATTTCACCCCCAGGAGGGAGAGGAAGGGAAAGTGCTTCAGAGAGCCACCCACATTTAGTCTCACCCTTTTGGTGGGGGGCGTGGAAAGTTCCCACCCAGACGAAGGAGTAGCCTTTTCTCCCCCTCCATACAAGTACACATTCCAGTGCATTCTTAAGAGTTAAATTTTAAAAAGACAATTAAAACCAGCCAAGACACACAGCAGCACAGTGGCCGAGACAGATGCGCTGAGCTCCTGGTCAGGACCAGCAGGACTAACTCAGAAGGCATTTTCCATCCAGGCTGCTCCATCACCAAAGCAGCCTAAGGAAAAGAAAAAAATGCGCTAACCCTGGGGACAGAGGAAAAGAATGGAGTCACCAACGGTCTGGTCACAAATAGAAGAGAATAAATCTGTGTTATACAGACAGGCCGTCACCCACTAGACCTCAAGTTGGCTCCGATAAATGAGGGTGGTTAGAGATTATGCAAAGGTTTTGAGCTTTCAATAAAATTGCTTGGCAGGTGTAAAATATTAATTCAATCTGTCCAAATAGGAGATGATTAAGCAAAAGGATGGAGGAGCTAACGAAGAGGAATGGAAGGTTCCTTGGGATACGGGAGCCTTTAGGGCCCTCCTGACTCTGAACAGAAGTTGAGGAAGCCCTGTCAAAAACCAGGAGTTATAATTGGATGGAGCTATTACTTCTAAATTTAAAGAAAACTAGAAGTTTTTCCCCCTTGCAATCATCTCAAGGATGGAAGTGATTGCCTCCCCAGGACAGACAATCGCACATTTTAAGAGCTACAATGCATGCTGATTATACAGGGCTCTGACGTGCTCCCAAATTACAGCCTCACTTTCACCTCCACTCTCGATGGCCTATTACCTAGACTACATGACAGTTGCCATTCTCTTGAAAGGGCTCAGCCCGCCCAGAGCAACCGAGGTGCTTTAATTACGAGCCATCTCTCCTCAGTAGGGCTGCCTAAGAGAATTGGCTGAATAACCAGACGATTTCCTAATTCCCAGGGACCCACTCACCATGCTGTGTGAAGAGATCACTGTGAACAATCTCGATCATGCAGTAGAGCTTCTGGACAGTCAGCAAGCCCGCAGGAACATTCAGGATGAATTCCGTGAACATTTTGCTACAAGGAGAAATGCAAGTCACATGATTCAGGAACATAGCCAGCCCAAGGACCCCATGCTCTCCCAAGGTGGTACAGAACACCACAGCAGGAAACGGCCCTGAAACGATAAGACCGAATCTTAACCTGGGAATGTGGTTTTAAAACACTGGTTTGTACTTTACCACAGACTGAGTGACTATAATTCAATTACATACAATGGTAAGTGCTGGTAAGAATGTAAAGAAATTAGATCCTTCTGGCTATGCAGGTAGGAAGGGAAAGGGTGTGGCCACTTGAAAATTTCCTAAAAATGTAAAATCACATTATTGTGTGTTCTATATTACACAATGTATAAATATAAATATATATATATATGTATATGTGTGTATATATATATACACAAAACTTATACATGACTTAAAGTGGCATTATTTAGAGTACTCAAAAAAGGAGAAACTGCCCAAACATCTTAGCTTATTCTATGATAGTGAAAAGCTAGACACAATCAGCTAGGGGAATGTTCTCAGTAATCAAAAGGACCAAGTTAGCATTGAATCTGAGGTATTCACCGGCTTAGTTACCAAGGACAAGCAAATTTAGGCTTATATCAAACCAGTGCTCTAGCATCATAACAGAGGCTAACTGATGGATGCAGGAACAGTGCTTTGTGGGAAGCCTACTTTGTATGGTGAGAACACCTAGCAGCAGGTACCTGTTGTTGTAGCCGAAATAAATGATGGGCAAGCAAGGCTTAGTATGTCAAGAAAGTCACACCTAATTACCCTACAGAAGAAAACGTTATAACAGGAAAACAAAATGCCTTAAGTGTCCAGAAGCTGACTGTGAAGAAAGAATGCTTACCTGAAGATAGATAGATAGATAGATAGATAGATAGATAGATTGATTGATTGATTGATAGATGATAGATAGAAATTATATAGAAGGAATTACAGAGGCACATGTATGTAGGCACTTAGCAGAGGGTGAAGGCAGGTAGCCCAGAGGAAACAGGTCTATCTCAGAGCTCCAAGCACATGACACACTGCCAATCACAAGCAGGGTTGGTGTCTCTCTACTGGCTGTCAAGGACAGACCTGGCTATAACTCTGGCTTCTCCACTTCTCAATGCATCCAATCCTGTGTATTTCAAATATCTATGGGAATGCCTTGAGGGTTCATGAAAATCAGACAGTAGGCAACCATGTTTATTTAGGAAGACTCAGAAAGAGTTCCGGGTTTGGCCTCCAACAAGTCCAGGGTCCTTGGGTGCTGCTGGCCCAGGGATTACCCTTTAAAACCACCCCTCAAAAGAAGGACTTTTCAGAGACACAGTTAGGCAAACCAACATCCTGGGACATAAGGTTTCACTTTCCATCATTTGGAGCCACCTAAGCTAGAACCCGAATGTCAGGGTCCTGGAAGCAAAAAATAAATGTGTCCCTACTGAACACTAAATCTCAGGCAAATCAGAGAGAGTACTGTCCAGGAGCCCCTTGCCCTTCAATTTAAAGACATTAATGGCTTAGGGTAGATATAAAGTGAAGGAAAAACGACCCCTCGGGGACAAATGTCCTCACACGAATATTTGAAGGGTCTGGTTAGCACAAATGGTGCCATTTCCTGCACATAGTGTGTCAAACCACAAACAAACATAAAGCAGAGATGTACTGGGTGGCTGGGCTCACATGAGGGATCAAAGGCTAAACACCCACCAAAGCACTTATCAGAAAGCCATGCTATCTGCAGATTACATAACAAAGAACACTAAAAGGGGGCATATACTAAGAAGGGAAAATCTGCTCCCTAGACTAATAGTCCACTTTGAATGACCACTGACCACCTCCTCAGAGGGTTCATCATCATCATAGTCATCATTATCACCGTCCTCCTCATCTTCATCATAGATGGCAACTTCTGACCACCACCACCACCACCATCATCATCATTATCAACATAGTACATTGAAACTTCTGTCCCTGATATCTGTAGCTCAGAGCCCACCATTTAGGAGGGTCCAGGGAGAGGAAACTGCCATATTATAATAAAGAAGTGGCTACCAAAAGAAGAGGAAAGGTCCTATATAAGCTTTTATAGGTGCTGAAAATTGGAACTAGACCATCAACCACATACTGAAATGCAAACACTGAAATATATAAAATGGAAATTTTGAGTGTGTTGGTAAGTATTAACTGTTAACACGACAGAAGCTAGAATGACCTGGGAATCAGGTCTCTGAGCGTGGTTATAGGGTTATCCTGACGACCTTAACTGACTGGATGGGACAGTTCCCTGCCAGGGGATCCTGGACTGTATCAAGCGGAGAAACTGAGCTGAACACTAGTATGTGTTCTTCATCATCTGCTTTTTGGCTGTGGATGTAATGTGGCCGGCTGCCTTTAGATCCTGATGCCTAGACTTCCCTGTCAGATGGGCTATTCCTTGAACTGTGAACCTTAACAAACTCTTTCTCCCTTGTGTTGCTTTTGTCGGGGTATTTTATCACAGGAACAGACAGAAAAACTAGGACAATATTGGGTCTCAGTCCCATTGTACTGTAAACCATTTTTCAACAACAAAATAGTGGTTATTGACAGGTAAAGCCTTCTCCATAGAAAGACAAATCAGCCCCATTCCTTCCACACAATCCAGGGCATTTATCTCTGTAGGTATGAGGCAGCCTGCAGCATCCTCCAAACAGGATGCTCTGTGTGCTGCACACAGCAAACACCTGTTTCCAGGACAATTAATTACCTGAGCTCCTTGGGATCAAACACCAACTTCACGTCATTGACGATGGTTGGCAAGTACTTCAGTGCTGCACCCTGCAAACCAGAAAGAGGGAGGGGTGAGCAGAATTAAGGCAGGAAAATCTTAACATACTCTAGTAATTCTGATAAAAATCCACAGAAAAACTGAGAGAAAGAAAGACCACTTCCAGATGAGGCTTAACCACAACGACAAATGAACAAACCATCCTCATATCCAAAACACCTCCCCAGTTCCCCCCCAAAAAAGGGCATTTCTTTCATGTCCACATGTTTTAAAAAAAAAGGATTTCAAAAGAGAGCAAAGAGATTGTAAGAGTCACAGAACAGAGGGAGTTTGCTGTGAGAGAGTGTCTCAAAAAGTGTCAGAAGCTACACCCACTGAAGTCTCACCACCATGGCCACCTGAACAAAACAACACCAATACATGTACAGATGTGGATGGGGAAGAGCTCATGGGCCTCAACCCCCAGACAAAGAATCACAGGCAACTAAGGAGTGTAGAGAGGAAGAAACAGTTCTCCTTAGGGAAGAGCATGCCACGTGGTTATCCAAAACCAGGTGATCAGCCCTTTAAGCATGAAGACATTACAGGGTCAAAGGGGGAAAGGTAATATATATGAACACCAGTAAGCACTGCTTTTGAAAACTAAGTGAGCTGAGCAGAAAAGTTTGTCTCCTTCAACTGAAACAATGCCTCGGATAACAAAATGAACACCAGTCACCTAGAAAAATACCCTTTTGGCAAATCCACCGTGGGTTTCCACAGAAGCAGTTCTGTTCTACTCCAAGGATGCCTTCCTACTGTCTGTGTCCTTTAGTGAGAGACCATTTTGGCCTTTACTCAGTCACCTCCAGCTTCCACCTCTGTATCTTTCAGCTTCTTAAACCATAGGCAGTGATACCAGTTGGGTCCACACACCGGAACACGGAGGGCTTAAAAAGTCAGGCCACAGTCATCAAATATTTGGGAACATACAACACCAAAACTTGACAGAAAATCAAGCATGCAATGTGCCTGGGTGTTTCCAGCAGTGTTTGCCCATGCCACACCTCTGGATTTCACTGCAGCACTGGCTTCATATGTAGGCCATGTACACTCTACTGCACATGCTATCACATCACACATGGGCAAAGAGCTGCCCTATCTCAAAATCCTCAGTCCAGAACCCAAACTCTCTATGTTAATGAATGATATTATTCTTACCAGAAAAACATTTTCTGCCTTTGCAGAAATACAGTGGCTTAATTTAGAGGAAGGATAGACTTGTGATATTTTCCTGCCTTCACTTGTCATCATGCATCTCATTAGCATATCTTTGGAATATTAAGATATACAAACAAGTGCATGTGTTTCTTTATGTATATTTGCTTTTCTCTTTGATGAGTAGTAAAATTATATGTATATCTAATAATTGTTTTTATTTGTCTTATAGTTCAGTGAATCAAACCTGGCTTTGATATGGCAGGCAAGCATTCTACCACCGAGCTACCAGCCTAGTGCCAATAATTGTTTAGAAATAAATATTTAATGATGTATCCTCAGTACCTGACTGATCTGGATAACTGGTTTACACTTCCATATACCAGGGATCATGTAGAAATTTCTCAAGTGAAAGGGAGGTACAAGCACAAAGAAGGTAAGAACGTTCTAGAAAGCCAGTATCTCACAGAGTAAGAGCAGAGATACCTGCCATTTACCATTAAGACCTCCCCACTCATGTATACTACTTAAATTTTTAAATCAGTATATACATTATTAAGTTTCATTACAGCATTGCCCATTTCTCTTCCATACTCTTGACTGATCCCCACTCTGCTGACCCCATAGCCTCCTTATTCCTTTCCTGTCACTTGTGCGAAATTTCCTCACTCCTATTTTTCTGGTGGCCCCAATGGTTTCATGGAATATATCTGTCCATACTTGCACGCATGCACGCGTGCACACAAACACACAACTTGGATCCCCATATAAATAAAACATGCAGTATTTGTGCTATTGATTCTGGGTCACCTCACTTAATACATTTTTCAGATCTATTCATTTCCTCAGAACACTCATGATTTTATTTTTCTCTACTACTGAATAAAATTCAACTAGGATATATAAACCACAATTTCATTATCCATTCATCTGTTGATGGCTGGTTCCATTTCCTTGTTATTGTGGTAAATTAAAGAAACAAAAAACTGCCAATCAACAAAACTGCCAGTCAACAAATGGGCTAATGAAATGAAAACGACTGTTTCCAAAAGAAGATAAATGAATGCCCAATATGTATTTTTTTGTACATGTTCAGAATCTTTAGCCATCAGAGAAATGAAAATTAAAATCACTTTGAGTTCCATCTCAGCTTAGCCAGAATGGTTGTCTTTAATGTAGACAATGCTGGGGAGAAGGAGGGACCCACATTCACTATGGAGAGGAGTGTAAAAGAGCACCATGAAAATCAGTATAACGTTTCCTCCCAAAGTTCACAGCAGAAATGGGCCAGAAAGATAGCTTAGCAGGATCATGGCACTAGCCACCAAGCTTGATGATCTGAGTCCAATCCCTAGGATGCACATGACAGAAGGACAGAACTATCTATTATAAGTTATACTCTGACTTCCACACATACTCCCTTGCACATGTTCACACCCTACACCACACCACACACACACACACACACACACACACACACACACGATAAATAGATCGATAGACAGACAGATAGATAAATGTAATTCTAAATTTAAATGGCAATAACTTGTAACCAAACTATAGCATCCCTGTGAATACAACCAAGGAACACACTCCACCATGGTGACACTTGTGATCCTTACATCTCTTTTACATGTTGTACCCAACTCTGCCAGTGTTCCTATGTGGAAGTGAGACGTGTCAGAGGAAGAAACTGACAATTCGGGTATTAGTGACTTTGGCCTTATTCACAGTGAACACTGAACATTAGAAATAAATGTGAATTAGGGGAAACTGGAGACCCTTCCCCTCTTGCTGCTGCAAAAGTTCCTGAACATCTATGTTCTCTGATTTTTCCCACATTCTGTGACTCTAAGTAGCACATGTGCCATACAGAGCCCTGCTTCTGATGCCGTCTGACTCATGTCAATTACTTCAAGGAACTGTCCAAAAGCTCAAACTCAAATGGAGAAGAGAGCAGGATGATTCTTAGTGGAAAACACAAAGGAAATCCGTGTTTTCCTCCTTCGAACAGGCAGAACTCACTTTCAAATTATCTTCCGGAACATACATGGTCAAGAGAGTTGTAACAAAGGTGCCAACTCTCCAAAAGCATAGCCAAGTGCATTCAATCCAGAGCCATGAATGACACAAGGGTAAACTTTAAAAGTATCATCGGTCTTAGACAAAAAAAAAAAACTTAGAATAATGAAACTTTCAAAAGATGATGTTTGTGATTTCGGGCCAAGCTAAGATTTCTCACACACAATAATAACTGCACAGACTAAAAAAGAAAACACTCAAAACAAAGAGCCACACCTCTGGAAGGCACAGTTTAGATAACAAAGCAGGAGTCACACACAGGGAGAAGTTTGCTGAGAATCCCCATTTGGGAGAGATTCATATCCTGCATGTTCAAAGAGCTCAGAAACTCAATAGGAAAACAATACTCTGCACTTAAAAACTGCTAAAGACTGGAAGAGACACTTTTCTGAGGGAAGATTTACAGATGAAAATAAATGCTTGCAAATATGCTTAGCACAAGTGCACACCTGTAATCCCAGAACCTAAGGGAAGGGAAGCAGAGGGGAGGAGGGGAGGGGATAGGAAGGGAGGGGAGGGAGGAAGTGGGGAAGAGGGAGAAGGAGAGAAAGGGAGGAAGAAGGAGGGGGAGTAAAAGGAGTGGAGAAGTGGAGGGAAGGAGAAGGAAAAGGATATCTCAACACCACAACTCATCAGGGGAATGTAAAGCAAAACCTGGGTGAGGCACCGCTCCATCTCGAAGAATCTCTAGAAGGGAAGAAAGCAAAGGGTTCAGCAACATGTTGCATGCCTGTGCTGCTAGTGGGGATGTAAAAGTAGTGAAGCAAGGCTAGAAACCATCCTGGTATCATGTTGCAATGAGACAGGAAGAATCCGCCCATCAAGGGTTCGCCTAGGTGTTAGGATTACAGGTGCCTTGCATGTGATCACGCACTGCAGCCTTAATCAATAAAAAACGGGGAGTAACCAAAATGTCCCTCAAGAGATGAGTCCATACAATGAAGTACTACACAGCACTGAAAATAACAAACCACAGTTGACACACATGCAGATGAATCTCATGGCATCCAGAAGACCACATCTTAAATATTCTGGAAAAGTCAAAATATCACGGACCAGGTGAAAGTTCAACAGAAATTTCTGCCAAAGAGGGTGGAGGAAAGTCACAGTGGCTGGCTCTCTTCCATATGCCTGCATTTTGGCTTTATAGAAAGTGTCAGAACTGTTTGACATTAAAATTAGCCTATGAGAGAGGCTAGTTGGCAGAAAAATAGAAACCCCACCGAATAGAGGCCGACATGTAACAGAAAAAAATTAGCCCCTTACAAATGTCCCAGTCTGACCCATGCATGAGCCTTTCTCCTTAGTTGTCGAAACCATTAGAACTGTGTTAGATGGACATATGCACATATTTAGAATGACTGCATATGGGAGGGGAGGGGGAGCTGAGAATGTACCTGCCTTCCAGAGTGGAAGGCTTCAGCTGCCAAATTCAAGTCATATGTCAAGCTTCTTAATCTATACAATGTGAGTATCCTGACCCCATTGATACTCTAAATGGTCAGAATCTCTGTAGGGAGCCCCTGAGTTTACTGCCACAGATGGAAAAGGGGAGCTCAGAGCTGTCTGCATGGAGTCATAAAATGGCCAGGACAAGAGCAGTCTGTGTAGCTCCATGGCTGATTTGATGAAACAGCCATATTTGGTCTTCATAGATTTTACAAGGATTAATGAGGAAAAGTGGGTTCCTGGGAGTGGGGATAAAAGGCCAGGTTTGGCAGAGGGCCTAGAATCCCAGCAATGATAAGATTGGGAGGCGAGGACAGGTAGA